CTTAAATTTAATCAGAATAAGTAGAATAAATAAATAAGTAAATAAAAACATGAACATAAATAAAAAAATATGTGATTTTATTTACTTAGATAAATAAGAACAGTAAAAATTCTACTGATACTGGATCAACCAATCGATAACAGAGAGAACTATACTCATAACTATATGAAATATTTGAGCAATCCAGTGTCTTTCTAGCAGTTAAATTTTAGACTTAGGCTACTTTTTGAAGAAAGCATATACTGAAGATATTATGCGTATATATTTGGATTAGGATAACACAATATTGATAAAATGTCATGAGAATTATTTATGAGTTAAATATTACATAAGAAATAAAAATGGTGTAAATACTATAATCCTCTTCATATTTTTTGTTTAATAGTATATTCGATTTATCTAGATATATCTTGATGTACAGAGGATAATCATATTTTTCATTTACACTCCTAATGACTGCAGGAAGGTATTATCTATAATATGGTATAAATATATAAATATATAAATAAATTTTAAATTTGCTTCAAAAAATAAATTTAAAACTTAATAAATTCGATTTAATTAAAGCTAACTTGGTTCTTGTTTTTATATAGATAGTAATAAACTAAGTTCTTGATCCGATTTTAATGAATATGTGCTAAGTTCAATCTGGCGGAGAAATTGACTGACCTCTATAATGTGCAACATTTCGAAAAAAATCTAACTTGCAATTATTTTCTGCATATAGTTTTTAATATGTAAAAATACTCGATAGTACGATTTCCTTTCTTAATGATGAATGCGATCTTATTTCATTTTTTTAATATAGACCATTGTTGTTAACTTAAATAAATATAATAGCGCTACAGACCCTGTGACTTATGCTCAGCAACTTGCTCTCTAGTTCAATATGTTATCACCTATCAACTTACCTGGTTATGTTAAGCCACAGTCGTCCTTTTAACGACTTTTTTTACATCTTACCAAGTATCATGTATATGGTACATACATACACATCATCAAGTAATCAAGTATTATCATCAAGTAATCAAGTTCATGTTCATGTTGAGTCTTTTTTGAGTTAGTCAAAGAGTAAAAGTGTCCAACTGTTTGATAGGGGTTTTTGCAGAGTCCCACACTTCTCACTGACTAATTTATGTATTTCCCAAAAGCTATATAATTTTCGCAAATCAAAACAATTTTTTTTTTTTATTTTTTAAATATATTTTATTTATTTGGGGATTAATTTATCTTTTATATTGCAACTAAGTTTATTATTTTTATTTTATTTACTTTTATTTCATATTTTTTTGTAATGTATTTTTGTTGTTGTTTTTGCTCTCTTTGTGTATAATTAACATATTTGAAATACTTTTATATACTTAGAGTGATAACAGTTTATCGACTTTCTATGCGCAAATAAATTTGTGTATAGATTTAATGTGTGTATATATTTTTATATGTATGTGGTTGCCAGTTTTAATTTATTGCAATTTTATTTACTTTCTTTTTATATTCACATACACAGCATATTGCCAAATATATAATGAAATTAATTATAACTACTACAATTATATTTCATGAAAATTATTTTCATATATTTTTTTTTAGTTTAATTTCATATATACCATATATATATATATAAACGTAAAATTAATTGGTTAATTTTTCATGATTTTTATTTAATTAAATTTTATATTATATTACTTATGTATATAAAACACAAATCCATACAATTTTATTATTTACAATTTACATATTTGTATATAAACAAAGTTCACGATATACAAGCTTAAAAAATAAAAAATTGTGCACAAAGATTTCCATGGCTTCGATTTTTACTACCAATTCAAGTTTTAAATTTCATTTCACATTATCGTATATATATTAATATTTAAGCTTATTACATATATTTTAAAAATAAATTACATTACAAACGACAGGAACAAATGTTAAACTTAAAACGAATAAAACAACCTAAAATAACAGAACTTCTTCTTATAAATTAAAAATTCTTTACATTCTTACCTTACGAATCTGATATGTTTTTTGTGTCTTCGAGCACAAAACACACAAAATACACAAAATTTATTTTACAAAATTACACACTATTTACAAGTTCACTTTAATTATTTAATATATGCGTGTTGCCATTTTTGGCTTTAATTTCCTTCATTTGCATAATATTGCATGCGTGGGTCTATGGTGAGTTTTATTCTATTGAGGTGAGTTTGAATTCAACAAACAAAAACACAATCCACAAGTAAATCTTTTTAAGGTTTCCTACTTTTTGCTTAAAATATTTTACTATTTTTTCATTATTCGTGAATTAATTTACTATTATTATAAATGTATTTACTTTGCATATTTCCCTTACCTCCTGCATGGGAACTTAAAAAATTATATAAAAACACAAATTGAAGTATCTTTGAACAACATAAAGTGTTTTTGTTTTTGGTATTATTTCATTTAAATTAAAATATTGTAGGTGCAAGTAATTAAACTTGCCTTTCGTTAATAATGAAAATCAACTATAATGTGTGCACTTCGAAAAATATTTAATACTTTCATTACATTTTTGCCATTTAATAAATAAATTAGTTGTGGTCTGTTTCATTTGTTTCATCTGTTTTTGTTTTTGTTTTTGTTTTTAGTTTTATACTATTATTACTATAAGCTCTGATTGCATAAGTTTTTATATATTAAATTTTCAATGGTAAAATTTTATGCTTCTTTTATTTATATTTATATAATTTTAAATCCAAATTTATTTACAATAAAATGTTGTTAAATAGCTGCTTTTGCCCTTCAAAAACGAAGAAGACTTCACTGTGCCTGCTGTGCCTCAATTTTTATGTTTGCGTTGACATGAGATTGCCAACAACTTTAAAACATAAAATCAATTTTACTCCTATTTTTGGTGTAATAAATTACGCAGATTTTTTTAAATAAAATTTTTTTTTGTTTTAAAATTATAAAATCACATTTAAATTATTGTCCGAAATTTCTTTATATTAATTTTCGCCTTATAGCACACTTCTAGAATTTCATCCACACTTCTACACATTTAAACACTTACGTACGTTTGCTGCACACATTTGTAATGACAAACTGCAGTGGGCTTATGGCCTCAACGTTAGCTTTGGTGCTTGCTGTTGCAAATGCTGTTCGCGAAATGCAATGAGCGAACGAAAGGCCGAAATTGGTGATGAATTTGTTGCTGCTGTTGCCGCATTGATATTGTGTGCAGTAGGCGAAGGTGGTGTAGGCGATGAATGTCATGGTTTACCACTTAACGACGTCACATTGATACCAGGAGATAATTTTCCTGAATTCGATGAAGTAGATGAGGAGGTGGAATTACCTGATATCGGTCCTAAATGATGCATGGGTGGCTGTGCTGTACTAGTGGGCGTTTGCACAACATCACAACCAATTGATGACGAAGTACTGGATGCTGATGGTGAAGCACCAGCAGGTGGTGCTATCTGTTGCGGATGATTGTTCGTTGTAAGACTTAATGGTGCAAAGTGTGGTCCGGCTGCTGCGCCTGTAACAGCCGCTTTCCACAGTAACGGATTCATGCTAAGACCATTATGTGCTGCTAGGCTAGCACCGAAAGTTCTTTGGTGTTCTAGAAATTCTTGTGAGGGACCTCCTAAATGTGCTGCTGCAGAGGGACCATAAAAGCTACGATATAAATCGGGACGCACATATGGTGAATAATTTGGTATGCGTGCTGCTAGAGGTGATAAAATTTTGCCTGGTGTATTATGCTGACCAGGATGACCGTAAAGTGCAGGATGTGTAGGTGGCAAATCACTACCAGGGGGACTATCCTTAATTGTATCCTTACCATCTTTGGATGCCATATCAGCCAGAGACCAGATGCGAGGTTTAGTTGCCAAACTTGCAGTGGTACTGACACCAGCTGAATGCAGGGAATTTTGTTGCGCTTGTTGATGTTGTTGTAGTAACTGTTGTTGGTGATGATGGTAAGCAGCAATATCGGGTGGTGAACCAGCAGGTGGGCGAAAGTGATGATGCAAAGCGGCGGGATGAAAGAGTGGATGACCACCACCAGGCATGCCGGGACGATCGTATAAATCTGGGGAGCCATTTGGTGAACCTGGTCTTGAACCAGACCATTCGCTGTTATTACTTTCACCAGGTCGATCGCCAAGCATATCACCAAGTCGTCCAGAACGGTCCTTATCGTCTGTGGAGCCCAGACCCGAATCTTTAGCATCTAAAAGAAAATGAAATAAAAATTTAAAAAAATAAAAAAAATTCTTGTTATGAAAATATTATTTTAATAATTTGAAATATCAGTGATGATAATAAATGTTTTTCAGTAGTGAATTTTTGCAATAAGTTGACAATATATACATTAAGACCGAAAAGCTTTCGGAAATTCTCATTTAAAATTCGCGCGCTGTATATTTTCCGATATTTTAAGTTTATGTAGTTTGGCAGCACTGTCCTTAATTACTATGCCAAAAATGAGCGCGATCTGTCAGACAGTTCGTTTACGGCAGCTGTTGAAACCAGTTCACCTCAGTAGGGCGTTGCGAAAAAAACAATGGAAAAAAATATTGAACAAAGAGTTTGCATCAAATTTTGTGTTTCGAACGAAATTTCGTGTGCAGAATCGTTGCGAATGCTACAAAAGGCTTATGGGGAATCAGTTTTATCGAAAACTCAAGTTTATGAGTGGTACAAAGCCTTCCAGGACGGTCGTACGACCGTCGAAGACATTTCGCAACGCACTACTGAGGTGAACTGGTTTCAACAGCTGCCGTAAACGAACTGTCTGACAGATCGAGCTCATTTTTGGCATAGTAATTAAGGACAGTGCTGCCAAACTACATAAACTTAAAATATCGAAAAATATACAGCGCGCGAATTTTAAATGAGAATT